CAAAGTAGTTATTTTTCCATTTTTTCTCTCTCTTTCTCTAATGTTTTGACTAATTATAAATAAATTATAATATTTTTAGGTTATTGTTGCAAATGACCCTTAAATATAAATAATAAAAAATATACATCTATGTTACTATATAAAATTGGACGTGTTCAACATGAGTTTGACAGGTAGTATATAATTACTCATCTGATTGCAGGACCAGTTATTAACTCATTGTTAATTTAGATCAATACACATGTCGAAATAATTTGGTGTGGTAAAATATTTTAAAATTAAGATTTCATCTTTTCGGTGACACTTAAGTTATTAAATTCAAAAAAGTAAAAAATTTCCTTGCTAAATATTATTCTTCTTTTTCAATATTTTGTTAAGAAAATAAATAGAAAGTGTTTAAAACATTAGAAAGTAATTAGAAAATGTAGTGATAAACTAGATAGTTGACAAAAAAAAATTGAGAAAAGTTTTTCAATTTTTTTTAACATATAAAAAAACTTATTTGGCTAATTATTTGTAAACTAATTATAGTACACAGAATTATTTATGTTTTTTATATATAAACTAGGTGACTGGCCCGCACCGTGAGAACTTTTAAATGAATAAGTTAATTTCAATATTTAACAATGCGAATTTATCAATTTATTAAAAATTACATATACATGATTGCAAGTTTAAACTTGTACATTATGCATGCTGAAATAAATATTTTGAGTGTTATTTTGAAATTATGCATGTGTTTTTCATTTTATAATTTTTGTATTTGTATTAAAAAAAAATGAATGATGATAGATAACAATATGTAAAATTTCATAGTTAGTCAAAGAAAATATTTTAAAATATTGAAAAATAGATTTGGGAGAAATAAAGAGCATGCACAACTTTAAACTTTTCAAGGAAAAAAAATACGAAGCCAAACAAATGATTATGTATTCTTCTTCCTATGTGATTCATCTGCACAATGCGCATGCATGAAATTTGTAATATTCGTTAATTAAAAAAATGTAATTATCTACGCTTTACTATCATTCATTAATATTTTGTATGTTTTGACATTTATATAT